AGGAGAGCAGCCGGCTCCCTACACCAGAGGCCTCCAGTCATTATGAATCTGGCGATGACAGGAAGTGACGCTCTCGCGTCTGAGCATGGATTGCCGCTATCGGGTCATTAACTCCTCTACGTAGGCCGAGTCTACACGTGATTGGACGAGCTCGGCATCCAGCGCACATGCTCGGAACGGCCACCCAATGGGGATGTCACTGGGGTCAAATGTTGGCTCTTTAAGACCCGGGTTCGGCACCTCATCTTTCTTTGCTGCAGTTTCACTTTCACTTACAGGATCCCCCTGCACACATCTCTCCGTCACTCTGCTCTCTCCTCCTATCCGCACGCTCCTTGAACTCAACACAACTCCTTGAGTCGGCGTCATCGAACGACGGGACACAAATCTAGCCGTGTACGGGCCGGCTTGGCTCGGGCTTTCCACGCCACGTGTTTTTATAAGGACGGGCTGATTTATAGCGGGACATCCCATAATTCTGATCACGTGACCACGCTGAGGACGAGCTGCATTGTGTGTGTCGTCTACTTTAACCCTTTCACTGCCGAGGCGGGTTTTTTGTTGTTGTTCAGTATAATCCGCATTTTAGGCCTGAAAATGACTTTAACGACCCCCAAGAGTTATATATGTCCTGAAAGCGCGGACCCGGGAGAACAAAATGGCGGCGGTTACAAATTTTAAAGTCGCACTATATTGGCGCAATTCTTTATCCAAAAACAAAATTCCAGTAAAAATTGCACTTAGGGTAATTTTTAGTGGCCCAAAATCACAATAAAATCCCCGATTGTTTTATAAAATATAAAAGACGCGGTAACGACGAGTGAATAGACACCCAACATGCCCGGGTTATAAATTGTGCGCGTCTGAGAAACGGCGGGAAAATAAGGAACCCCAAATTGTCCACAGGTGACGCTTTGAAAGCCCCCACAGGCCATCGGTTTAGAGATATCTGTGAATATCGGCTCTGGAATTATTGCTCTCACTCTGGCGCACGCGGCGATACCCAACATGGGTAGCATGATCGTTGTTTTCGTATGCAAGCGCATCCGACGCGTTTGTTGGGTTAGTGGGGGCGGGGCTTTACATTGCTGATGAGCATAGGGGATAAGTATTTATTATGGCTACTAGGTGGCGCTGATGAGCATAGGGGATAATTATTTATTATGGCCACTAGATGGCGCTGAGGAGCATAGGGATGTAATATGACACACTAGGTGGCGCTGATGAGCATAGGGGATAGTTATTTATTATGGCCACTAGATGGAGCTGAGGAGCATAGGGGATAAATATTTATTATGACCACTAGATAGCGCTGATGAGCATAGGGAATAAGTATTTATTATGGTCACTAGATGGAGCTGAGGAGCATAGGGGATAAGTATTTATTATGGCCACTAGATGGCGCTGATGAGCATATGGAATAAGTATTTTTTATGACCACTTGATGGCGCTGAGGAGCATAGGGAATAAGTATTTATTATGGCCACTAGAAGTATTTATTATGACCACTAGATAGCGCTGATGAGCATAGGGGATAGATATTTATTATGGCCACTACATGGAGCTGAGGAGCATAGGGGATAAATATTTATTATGACCACTAGATAGCGCTGATGAGCATAGGGGATAGATATTTATTATGGCCACTACATGGAGCTGAGGAGCATAGGGGATAAATATTTATTATGACCACTAGATAGCGCTGATGAGCATAGGGGATAGATATTTATTATGGCCACTACATGGAGCTGAGGAGCATAGGGGATAAATATTTATTATGACCACTAGATAGCGCTGATGAGCATAGGGGATAGATATTTATTATGGCCACTACATGGAGCTGAGGAGCATAGGGGATAAATATTTATTATGACCACTAGATAGCGCTGATGAGCATAGGGGATAGATATTTATTATGGCCACTACATGGAGCTGAGGAGCATAGGGGATAAATATTTATTATGACCACTAGATAGCGCTGATGAGCATAGGGGATAGATATTTATTATGGCCACTAGATGGCGCTGATGAGCATATGGAATAAGTATTTTTTATGACCACTTGATGGCGCTGAGGAGCATAGGAGATAAGTATTTATTATGGCCACTAGGTGGCGCTGAGGAGCGTAGGGGATAAGTATTTATTATGGCCACTAGATGGAGCTGAGGAGCATAGGGGATAAGTATTTATTATGGCCACTAGATGGAGCTGATGAGCATAGGGAATAAGTATTTATTATGGCCACTAGATGGAGCTGATGAGCATAGGGGATAATTATTTATTATGGCCACTAGATGGCGCTGAGGAGCATAGGGAATAAGTACTTATTATGACCACTAGATGGCGCTGAGGAGCATAGTGATAAGTATTTATTATGGTCACTAGAGGGAGCTGAGGAGCATAGGGGATAAGTATGTATTATGACACACTAGGTGGCGCTGATGAGCATAGGGGATAAGTATTTATTATGGCCACTAGGTGGCGCTGATGAGCATAGGGGATAAGTATTTATTATGGCCACTAGATGGCGCTGAGGAGCATAGGGATAAGTATTTATTATGGCCACTAGGTGGCGCTGATGAGCATAGGGGA